TAGGGGGAGGCATTGTTCACATCTTGCTCATAGGTGTTGTGATATGTTTTGTTCTTTTTCTTTTGCTCGCTTGCTGTAAAGTGCTCATACATAAGATTTGTACCTCCCATTCCCCAGAAGTTCCTTTGTACCCTCTCATTGATGATCCCAATTGCATGGAACTTAATCGCATTTTGTCTTTAAAGTATGAGAAAACTCTGCCAAAGGTTTGTTGAGTGTTCTCAAAGGAGGGAATTGTTGAGGTCACTAGGCATAGTTACCAGGTAACTCGGGGGGGTGGAAGGCCATAAGTGCCAATGAAACCCCCCTGCTCTGGGTCTATGTGAGCTAAAGCAACTCCATCTCGTAAACTTTAACCAGCCTCAATGCTAACCAGCCTAAAAGCAGAATATGTAACGGTCAGCTTTTTTTAGCAGACAGCTGCAGTTTCGCTCACACTAGCAAAAGCAGTAGTGATAAGGAAGAAGGGGGAGTGGAGGGGGGAAGTCTACTACGTCTAAGCTTGCAAGGCCATAGATAAACATGCAGACGAGAACTTTTCTAACACGCCACAATGTAGTCCCTGCTGTAACTGCTGTCAGGAAGGGAGGGGTAGAGGGGAAGACAGAACAAAAGCTTACACAAACAGCTTGAAATATAAAATGGGAAACTTGCTTGTATTTGTTGCACTTCTGATTTGAGACATGCTGGTCTCCTGAGTGCCTTTTCGAGATCTCGAATAAACTTGATTTGCTTCTCCACCCTGGTGTGTCTATTGGTGCGACGCACACCGGGCAACAAACCACCTGTTGCCCCCCTCTGGGCCAGCAACAACACTGGGGAACCCCTCTGGATGGACAACAAATCGCTTTGAGGGCTTGGAGCCCTTTTTCCTTGAGCCTTTTGGCAACTTTATCCCCTTTGAAGTTGAAGGTTCTGGGGATGATCTGGGATTGGCACAGAGTCCCATGGCAGCTGAAGTGCCGTCTCATTAGGAGTAGTTTTAACTTCAGCTCCCGATTTTTACAAGACCTTGGCTTTAGCTGCAGGTAGAGGGAATGTTTCTGAGGGATATGGGATTCCCCCAGGAATTGGATACAGTGCGTGTCCGGAATCGACTCCTTGCAGGAGAGGCATCTCTTGAAGCCAAGAGAACTGTGCATGCCCCTGGGACGTCAAGGGACAATTACCCTCTAGCAGTGAAGACTGCAGAAGAGATATTCTTTCCTCTTTCTCCCCCCCCTTTTTTTTTAAACTGAAAGATGTTAGAATGCCTTCCAGTGGTCTGTCCATTGCGCACACTACTGTTACTTGAACTAATGGATTAACTAATAGCAATAGCAGGCTGTCATCCTGTGTGTGGACCAGCACCCGAGGAAGATTAAACATTTTGCCAGTGGATTTCACAAACCGTTGATGACAGTAAAGGAATGGTGAGACTCAGGAATCTTAGGTTCCATTCCAGGCTGTGAAGGGGAGGGTGGTCTCACTGTCAGAGAACCTTATGGCTGTTCTGTTTAGACTCCCCTCCTCCAACGCTTCACCCCTTCATTACCATCCCCTCAAACCTGTCCTTTCCCAGTCTTGCCTTTCTCTCACCCTTAGTTCCTTGTCCCTGTCCCATTGATCTTGCCAACCCAGTCCCAGTCTCCACTCCTCAGGCTTCTTGTCCCAGTCTCCTTACCTAGCCAGTCCTAGTCTCTGCCTCAAGAATCCCTGTCCAAGTCCCAGTCTTCCTCCACCACTCCCAGTCACTTTCTCCCCGACTCCTTGTTCCCATTCTCCTTGCCCAGCCAGTTTCAGTTCTCCCTCTCCCAGCTCCTCATCCCATCCATCTCCCCACCCCTACCCCACAGCCTCCAGTCATCAATCAGCTCCCACACATTTTCCCAATACCACTGGCTCCCTGTCCCTTTTCTCTTTCGTTATCCAATCTCAATCATCCACCAAGGAACTAAAATACCTCCCAAGTAACTTTTACATTCTGTGTAGGATGACAGAGGGAAGGACAGTAGGATGCACTTGCTGACTGAAGGATACCTATGCAGATAATCAACTGTCACCACCTCATTCAATTATACTTTTCCTTGGTTTCAGCTATTCAAAGAAACACCTTGTGGGAGCCTATGTCAATCTTTACCCCCATAGATGAAGGACTGCTTGGGATGCCAGGAGTTGGTGTTTATCTTTGTTCAGAACAAGTCTGTATGAATCCAGAAATTTTGTTAATCTCCAAATATTTTGCTATGCTTTAGCTATGGAGCGAGCTCTGATTAGAATATCTATTTCCTTTCCTACCTCAGAGCTGCTACCAACACTACCACGATGTGTCTGGATACTCTGGGCTGGCTGCAAGTCCAAGAGTACGAGCTGTAATCAAGTGTTGGTCTCTTAAGCACAGTGAAGATACACCTGTGAGCTGCTAAGATGCAATATGAAGATATGCTTATTTCAAATCTATGGGGGACAGAGTCTCCTCTTTGTTGATAGTTGCTTGTGTTGACCTGAAAGTCTCAATCATAAAGGTGTATCTTCACATAGCTTAAATGGTTCATGCCTAATGTTGCTATCCACCACATGTAAGCATTTTCCACAAGACAAAGATCCCTCTAACAGAGTTACTTAAGTTATTATGCCTTAAAGACATACCAATTGTTTTTACCTCTTCCACAACAACATCCACAAGCAGCAAAACTATTTCAAGTGTCAGACAGGTTTCACAACCACCATCACTACCTAACTCATATACAGCAGAGTAGGTCAATCTTAATTTTTTCTCTCTTTCCCTTGTTACCTTTAAAGAAAATCTGTAAGAGATTCCCTGCTGCTGGAGGAGTGGAAAGGGGTGGAAATCTCACTGTCAAAGTTATTATATAATACAGGCAGTGATAAAGGCCTTTTTCAATCAGTGATGGGAGGGACCAAAGTAGGGAAATGCAAGTGAAGTATATATAGGATACACATATTCCTAATTATAATATAGAATACTCACCATATTTTACATCTTGAACTGTTACAGAGCTCTCAGCCATATTTGTAGACAGAATAATCTAGTTCAAGTCCAAAAAGAGAAAAAAAATGCAAAGAAAAGTTAACCCATCTATATTAATATATGTATTTATATAACTTTCCTTGGTAGGTAGGAAAAATTGTTAATTAAATAGAAATATTATATTTGTGTTTGTGCTCTCTGCCATTTTCCAAAGTGATTTTCATCAGTATTGTGTCTAGACAATAAAAGGTGTCACAGCACTTCGATTTTATTTTTCTAGTGCTTAAAAAAAATAAACCAAAGAGTGCTATAGTAAAAAAAAAGTTTTGGAAATAGTTGTTGTAACTTCACAGTACATGTATATTTTGTTTTTAATTGTACTTCTTCAATAATCTAATAGCACGAGAAATCAAGAAGCCAACAAACATAGGGCTTGATCCAGCATGGAGAACTACTGACACCCAGAAGCAGGAATCCACATCTGCAGTTCACTTTGCAGGAACAGGGCAATATACAATAATTTGTTTAATTATAACTTCATCAAGTCTATTATAGCCCCTTTCCATTTTTTTCAGCTGTGGCCAGTGATAACAGCCACAGATATACATTAATTGAAGAAAGCTTTTCTGACCTACCAGAAAAGTGATCAGTTTCTAACTTGAACAAAGCTGGATTGCCTTTCTACAGTTGTAGGAGAGGAATAAAATTAAAGAATTAAAGTTGACTTATGTTTGATTAAGGATATATATGTGTTGTAAAGAAAGCCCCAATCAGCAAATAAAAGAAGGCCATGAGAATAAGTAGCGTTACTTGTAATGTGGGAAGGATGTATGGTTTCCAAAGTAACTAATAAAACAAAGAGCTGCAGTAACAAGACAAAGAAAAAATGTCTTAAAAGAAAGAATCCCGAACCTTCCCACTGTTCTGCTGATAAGCAAAGAGTGGGGGAGAAGATAAGAAACAAGGCTGTAAAACTTATCTGGATTAAGACTGGAAATAAGGGTGAATTGTCTCAAATTGGATTTTAGCTGAAGTCAGTGATTGGCAAGGACATCGCTTGTTTGTTAAAGGATATAAAAAGTACACTCTTAAAGCAGTTCATTGCTAATACCTGCCTGACCACTTTGGAGCCGACCAATATGGGTCTAAGCAACCTTGGGTTTAGTCCATTTGTAAGTATCTTGATCAAATGCTTTTGTTACTGTTTGGTTGTAGTAAATTGTATAAAAAGCCTAAATAATAAGCATGTCTAGAGCAGTCATATAAATACCATTTGGCCTTTGGATTTAATAAAGGAATTTATGTTTAAATTAGTGTTTGGTGGTTTCCCATATCAATATTAATAATTTCAAATATTAGTAATAATTCCACTAACAACGATCCTAGCCTGAGCAGCTACTGTTGCCTATGGCCAAAACTATCTACTTCTTTTATAAGAATTAAGCCATGTTTCAATACTTGCTTACCTTTCTGTAACCAGGAACTGGAGTAAAAAACACATTATTCTGTTCTTCTAAAGTCACACTTGAATGGAGCAGATATACTTGCAACCTAAAGGAAATGCATCACTGTAACATCTATATAGTGATTCACAGTAGTCTGGGCCATACTTACCCCAAAATATCTTTTGGGACTACAACTCACATAGCTGAAGGATTAATGTTAAAATACTCAACAGAAATTTAATGAAATTAAAACAGAAGTGTACATATGAAAATATTTTACCACGTGTTACTCATTTTAATTTACCTTTTGTGAATCATGCTTGTGAGAAGTTCATGCAGGTAATTCATTTCAGCCAAACCTAGGGGGGAATAAACAGCTGAGTTAAATTAAACATTTTGATGCTCACCCTAAACCAAAGTAGTTAATGATTTTATTCTAAAATGGATTCTCCTCATTTCTGCTTAATTCCTAATTCTGTTTCTATTTCTTTATCCCTTTTCATATACAATTACAACAGATAGGTTAAATAGCAAAGATGCAATGAAAAGTGACTATAAAATTACATTACAAATAAAATGACAAACACACACCTACACTTACTATATGTGGGACTAGCAGTACTACCCCATAATTAAAGTTGCCTGACACTACACATTATATTTTTCCCCCCCATGAGAAAGCTATATTTAAAGAAAATTAAAGTTGCAAAGTCAATCACTGAAAATCTAGGACGTGCCAGAATTAAATGTTGCTGTTGTACTGCCACCTTTAATTGGATGATCACATAATATTTTTCCATGGGACCTCTGCCTTGTATAGTGCATAGGAGAAACAGTGCTCACTGAATGGGTAGCTATTCAATATTTCTTTTTATCCTCACTAATGTTCGGCTCCATTCCTTATTCACACCACATCATCCAAACCCTACATTGAATACTGAATTATTAGTTTCCATATGGGCTTTTCTTTGACCCTCATATCCATAGTGACTGAGTGCCTCACAAACTTAGAGATAAATTCATTGTCTTAGCCCCTGTGAGCTAGGGAGGTAGCCTCATTTTACAGATGAGGAACTGAAGAATAGAGATAAAGTTCAAAACTATCAAGTGCCCACTAAATTGGGGTGCCCAAACTGAGATGCCCAGACCCTGATTTTTCAAAGTTCTTAGCACTTATACCACTTTATATATTCAAGCACAGCTCCATTTACTTCAGTTGAGACTGCTCAGCACTTTAGCAAATCAAGCCCTAGGTGTCTTAAGTCGGCAGGAATGGCATAATATTTACCAGAGGTGTTTTTTACCAGGTAAAATCGTGGTTTTTACCACCTCATGAAAAACTAGTTAGTTCCAGTTTAAGGCATTTTCTATTTTAAAAGCCATTTTATTAATGCATACCACATTACACTTAGTTTTAGTTACATATTCAAATATGGTTACATAATGCAGCAGATTCATAGATTAATTTAGGGTTGTACAAATAAAAAGAAACTGCAGAGGGTATATGTAATTATAATACTGAACATTGGAATATCTGTATACATTTTTGGTTTGGTATTTTCTCCAAGAAGTATTACATGTTATGACTCATATTTCAGTTTTCAACATTATATAAACAAAAGTCAAGAACATCTGATTACATAAAAAGAACAATAATGCAAAGTTGTGGGCTTGAAGCATTGATTAAGTAATCAGAAGCATGCAGAGTTGCCGACTACCAGTCCAGGTGCATTTGGCCATGCAGCATTCTGTAGCAGAAGACCAACTTTCATGTAGTGGATACACTGAGCCTATACCTTGGTTTTGAATGGATGTATCCAAAATTTGAAAATATTTGTTCTGTGCTTGCTGGATACTGATTACTTATTTTTCCCAGTTTAAAACAGGTTTAAAACAGGTTCAGTATTTACCAGTATTTACCAGTATTTACCAGTATTATCCTCTCCAAAACTAGTTTTTCCTCGAAAATTGCCAACCCTGCAAGTTGGGTGCCCATAAAATAGGGTACTATAATAGGAACTATGTTGCAGGGGCAGGGATAGAATCCAGTTACCCAGGGTGACACTCAACTGCCATAACCACAAGACCCTCCTTTTTCTCTACCTGCATTCTTTGGGCTCATGCATAATTCACTTTCCAACTTCTGCAACAAATGAGTCAGGGGTCCTATGTACAGCATCTTCATTTACTACACAATCCAGAGATTGAAATCTTTTGAATCGCAGTGTCCTGTGGGCCATGCCTGTGCTGCACATGTCCCAGTGCGCCCTCATCTGAGGGGGCAAAGGGCAGAGTGGCCCCAACCACCCCTCCCCAGTCCCTTACTAATTCAGAGTCACAGAACAGAGAAATCCCCCAAAAATGGGGATTCAAGCCGAGTTGTGGGACCCACACTGACGACATCTTGAAGAACCACAGTTCCTGTAAAGGTAAGTAACCGTTCTCTCTTCTCAGTGTGAATCCCACTCTAGCTGACTGACAAGCAGCACTGCATCTGGCAAGTAAAATTCAGGAGTCCTGACTGACCTAACTGAACAGAGATTGTAATATTGCTCACCCAAACTTGGCATCTGATCTTGCAGCTAGGTCAAGGGCATAGCATTTAACAACAGTCAGAGAGTTACTCCATGTGGCTGCCTTAGAGTTTTCAGATATGGGAGGTTTCTGCTCTAGAGGAGTGAGCATTAACACTGAATGGGAGAGGTATAACCAACTGTTTGGTAGCAGATTGTTATGCACTGCATAATCCATTTTGATATCCTCTGAGAGGAGATGACTTTCGAAGCACCAGAAATGGCCATGAAGCGCTGCAAAGACAGTCTGAAAGGCTCTCCTCTTTCAATATAGTATACTCAGTCCCTTGAAACATCCTGTGTGTGGAGCTTTTTCTCTCCTAAGGAGGTTTAGGGAAGAACACAGACGAGTTAATCGACTGATTCAAATGGAATTCCAAGACTACTTTGGGGATAAGCATCAGATGAAATCTGAACACCGTGTTATCTTTGAAGAATTTTATTATGGATTCTGTGATATGTCATTGAGTATGATAGGTGTGTCTGCCAGCCTTCATTTAGGACCGCTGAAGGAAACAGGATCCTCTGACCTAGGTTGGGACTGCTATAAATGGGTATGTAAACCCACCCAGAAATTAGAACTATGTGTGCAGAAGGCTTTACTGGGTATTGTTTGACCAGAAAAGCATATAAGAAAGAGACAGCAGAAACCGAAGCAGCAGCAAGAGAAAGCAAAGCAGACAGTAGCAGAAGGCTGGTAATGTGACCCTGAGAGAAAACTAAAAGAAAGCTTTTTGGGTATAACGAGCTGGCTGAAATGACGAGCTTGTAAAACCAAACAAAGGAACAGTCTCCTGTTTGGTGCCTCCTGTATTCAGGGAAACAAGACTTTGTACATTCTTTGTAAATAAACAAGATTGCACCAAAGGAATACCTAACTCCATCATCAATTTCATCTTGTAATTGGAATAACCCACAACACACTGAATTGGATAACCACTTGGGACAAAAGGGGTAACAATGAGTAGGGTTTGGGAGGGCGTCAGATGCAAGTTTCAGAGGGGTAGCCGTGTTAGTCTGGATCTGTAAAAAGCAACAAAGAGTCCTGTGGCACCTTATAGACTAACAAATAAGCTTTCGTGGGTGAATACCCACTTCGTCAGATGCATGCCAGATGTAGGTTTGAGTTTGCTGGCCCTCCTAGCAGATGTTACAGCAGTGTATGTTGTATTTCAAAGGTGGCTCAAAAGAAGATACCATAAGGTTTACAAGAATGATGTTGAGATCCCATGCACGAGGAGGATTCTCTGACCAGTGGGTAAATATATAACTATGCATTCAGGAATCTTGATATTGTGGGATGTGAGGAGACTGAGCAGGACTGAACAGGTGGATAGCAGGCAGAGATCATGTCAAGATCATGGAGATCTTGATGGAACTGAATGAAAGCTCAGAGTGTTTCAAATGCACGAAGTAGTCATGCATCTTTGGTATAGGAGCCTGTACTGGGTCACAACCATTTTGACCTGCCCAGACTGAAAATCTCTCATTTTGAGAAAGTCCTTCTTGGTGAAGGCCTGTTTAACATGAGGATTTCTTGGACCTGGCAGGAGCACTCAACAAGCCAACACCCAAGGTTGTCAGATGTAGTGAATTCATGGCTGGATGCAGTATCTAATTCTAGTTCTGCAATATTATATCCAGACAGTCTGGAAGTGGAATGAGAGGCTAAATGGCCCTCTACAGATGTTAGCCAGAATTGTCTTGGCCAGTAAGGAGTTCTTAGGGTTAGTGTGGCTCTGTCCTGTCTCCTTTGTAAATCAGGGGAATTGGTAGGAAAGCTTTCACAAGGCCCTGATTCCATGGTAGGATGAAAGTGTCTTGTAATGAACCCCCGGGCCCCTTTGGTGGTGAACAAGTCTATTAAGGGAATTCCTCACAAATGAAATACTGCGTTGATAATGGACCTCCACAGTGATCACTTGTGACAGACCATCTGCTCAAGAAGTTCACTAGATTGTTAATGAACAGGAGCTAGCAAACAAACAGGAGTTTTATGAGGGAGTTCTCTACGTGGAGAAGGAGGGACTACATGACTACCCATTAGTGAATGCTAATGGGAAGGGGGTAGGTTTAGCAGATAAAATAAAAAAAGAACAAGTTAAAAATCACTTAGAAAAGT